AATGGAATCCCAAAATGCAATGCAAATTGGCAGGAAACACAAAATTTCCAAGAAATCAATGTCCAAGTAGGATATAAAAATAACTTATTTAAGTTATTTAAAAAAAAAAAATTGTGTGTGTAAAATAATGTAAAATAACTTATTTGAGTTATTTTTGAAAATAACTTGTTTGAGTTATGCCCCTGACTGCTGATTAGAAGCATTTCACTGTAAGCTTGTTTACTGTACAGTCATGTGATAACTACATTTTGTGGATTCAAGTTGAGTCATTATGAGTTTGAGGTTAAGGATTATATTGTTTTATTTAATATATTTTTTTCATCTGATGAAGACAAAACCAAGTTGCACTGTATTTGTTTTTTACCAACATTTATTTTTGTTTTACAGTCTTGCATTTTAATTATAGAAACATTTTCCTTTGTTTTGTTAATATTTCAGTTAAGAAGTGTAAGTTTGCATTTTTGCACCTTATTCAGTAAATTAAATTCACCACTTACACACCCTTTTCTCACTCAAAACTATTTTGCTTTTTTTCTGAATCAATAAATGCATTACTTGCATGACATATATTATAAACATTGATGGCATTGTAATTTGAATTAATATTCATAGGCAGAAATGTTTGATTACATCCATAACATATGAGTTGTATGATTATACATAGACCTACATACACCAACTCATTTTTATGCAATTTAGGATAAACTGTAAAAAGAGAGATCATTTAAATTCTCTAGTTATGAGGTTATAAATGAATGTTCATTTCACCAGGGAAAAATTCAGATTTTGTTTCCAGTTTGATAAAATTTTCTCTTTTTTCATTTTTTCGGAATTTTTTGCTTTAATACTATGAGGCATGCACTAATTGCATGTACCTATTCAATAAGCCTTTGTTAAGAAACATGAATTGTCAAATTGATTCATTTTGAGTTCAGTATTGATGTAACTCTTCCATTTCATTTCTGAAAGAAATTTTGTTACTTTCAACTTAAAATATGCGTGTTGTCAGTTGATTCTCCTTTTTCTTTTCACCGTTTACACAAATTATTTTATTTGAATACACTGTCAGTTTTAAATATTGATGATGGCATTTTAAAAATGTTCTAAACAGAAATTTACAAGTTGCAGAATGTGCTTATTAACCATTAAGAAGGAAAATTTATGTTTTTTAAAATTGATATAACCATTTTGACTAAAAACTTGCAAATGGCTGTACACTGCCATACATATTTTCTGAGCATGAACATGCATGTAAACTTTATATTCAGTTTATTTGATATTTTCTAACAGCTGAATTTTATATTAATGCTGGATTTATTCAATCTTTTATGATTATTTAGGATAGGCATGGACAATGATTTAATCAAATACATAGACTAACACCATTTTTAAATTATCACATTTTTTTCACATTTATTTTGCAGAATATGCTTTTTTATTATTTTACAACATAATAATGCTTTATTGAATTCATTATCCTTAGCAGTATAAATCTATAGTCTTGATGGAAAATGCTTTGAATTCAATCCCACATAAGGTTTTAAAAGGGGATATTTTTTATACAAAGTGTTCGAAACCTTTATGCACTGATATCTTCAGAATTTTCAATATATGTAGTACAAAACATAACACTTTAAGTTTATCATTACAGCTAAAGCTGAGAATGCCACAGAGGAGGACCTGCAGCAGGCCCTGAAACAACTGGAACACGAACAGGAACTAAAGCGGAAGGTACGTCATCGATTATCTTAAACTAGCTTTATAAAAATAGACAGTACTGTAAATAACTTAATTTTTGTGACATCTTTTTTTCTGGAACTAGTTATTTCCTATTTATAAGCAAAACAAAATTTTCTCGAATTTTGGTTATTTCTCTATATAATCTTAAGGAATACTATTAATGATAAAACGCTAGAATGAAATTTTTGCGCGTGCAATGCCACGAGTGCAATTATGCAAAATTAAAGTTCTTGCAAATAAAAAGTGATTTACAGTAATTAAATGACTAAAAACCATTAGGCTTAAACTAAAAATGAAGAAAAATAATGGTTTAAATGCAAAATAAGCATGTTATAACCCCTCCCCTTTTTCTGTATTTTTTAAGTCTGACACTTACATTTGAAAATTAATGAATATCTATTCTTATTTAGATGGATAACTTTACTAAACATCAGTATTCTGTTAAAAGGCATTCCATTTCAAATGGAACCAAAACTGACAAAAGCATCCAGATTTTTTTTTCTGTAGTACAGTATTAAAAATAGTCAATTAACAAGTTTGTCTCATTTATTCAAAATCATTCATTTTTATTTGTAATATCAGGCAATGACAGCTGATTTAGAGCAGCAGAGGAAGAAGTTGATGGAGAAGGTGGCGGCCCGTAAACGTCAGTCAGAGGAGAAAGAGAGCGAAGAGATCAAAGCAGCCCAACTCGTACTGCTCTCTGAGAGCCGTCAGAAAAAACAGAAAGAGACTGCCGAGAAAGAACGCAGTCAGCAAAGCTCAGAGGTAGGGAGCAGGTGTAAAAATCACAGTTATTATCAAATATTATCAATTCAAAATTAATGGTAATTGATTTGTAATTTTCTAATTAAAATTTGAGTACCACTTCTGGTATAAGCAAATTCAAAAGTTGAACTTTGGTATCTTGAACACTTTATTTGAATGTTACGTATTCGATAAAGTTATTTGGAAGTCCATACTCCCTGTTTTTCAAGTATTTTACCTTGGATATATCTAATCCTTGGATATCTTGAATTTTTTTTATCCTACCAAGTACAAGGTAAAACTGTATAAGTTAGACTGTGCATATAATTATCAGGAGAAGAAGATATTTAAGTTTAAAATTCTTTTGTTATGTATACTTTGTGATTTTCTGATTCCTTGTAGGAAATGGCAGCAATCTACCTGGTATTAAAGTAACATAATGCTAGTGATATAATTTGACACTTTGTTTATACAGCTTCAGAAGAGACTGGAGGCCAGAAGACAAGCAAGGAAAAAAGCGACGGAGGATCTGGACGAGAACAGGAGGTCACTGACTGACGAGGAGAGATTCTCAGGCTCCAGTGATGGCTCTAGACCTAACACCATGGACAGTGTAAGTAGATGTACTGTATGACACCAAGGACAATGTAAGTAGATAAACATTGTAAGTAGATGTACTGTATAACACCATGGACAGTGTAAGTAGATGATGCACTGTATTACACCATGGACAGTGTAAGTACATGTACTGTATAACACCGTGGACAGTGTAAGTACATGTACTATATAACACCGTGGACAGTGTAAGTACATGTACTGTATTACACTATTGACAGTGTAAGTACATGTACTGTATAACACCGTGGACAGTGTAAGTATATGTACTGTATTACACCATGGACAGTGTAAGTACATGTACTGTATAACACCATGGACAGTGTAAGTACATGTACTGTATAACACCATGGACAGTGTAAGTACATGTACTGTATAACACCGTGGACAGTGTAAGTACATGTACTGTATTACACCATGGACAGTGTAAGTAGATGTACTGTATTACACCATGGACAGTGTAAGTAGATGCACTGTATTACACCATTGACAGTGTAAGTACATGTACTGTATAACACCGTGGACAGTGTAAGTACATGTACTATATAACACCGTGGACAGTGTAAGTACATGTACTGTATTACACCATGGACAGTGTAAGTAGAGATACCTGTATATGTATTCTTATGATGAGAATATTCAATTGAATATAATTATAAAACTGTCTGTTTATGCTGAAGTGGAGACCTTATCATAAACATCACTATAAGATAGTATGTCCATAGGTACATGTGCTCTTCTTAAGTCTTACAATTCCAAGAAACAAGATGTGTTTTTGAAACACTGATGCCCCCAGATAGCAGCTTATGGGAAGACAAACTGCAGAGGTCAAGGTCAATCACAAGGAATACACCTGTGAAATATGAAAACCTTAGTACTTGCTGTTCAAAGTTATGTGCAAGGTGAAAGTTTTTTAAAAAGTACTGTAAACGTATTACATTTAGCGGTGTATTCTTTTTAGCGATTTTGGCGGAAAGCAGAGTCCGCTAATTCAAGTACATCGCTAAATGTCTTGTATATTAACTTTTATAACTAGCAAATTCAGACAGCGCTAAATCAAGTCTATGCTAACTTGTCGAAAATTGAATTTCCGTTAAATATCGTACATGCCAAATGTAATACATTTACAGTATATCAAACTCTAAGGTCAAGGTCGAAAGGTCAAAATGTTTTCACTCATTGAAAGGTCTTGTTACAGTGAATACACAGTGACGTATGAAAGCCCTAGCACCAACTTTTCAAAACTTATGGCCAAGGTTAAAGTTAGATATTTTTTTGTAAAAGTGGGCCACACTCCAAGGACAAGGTCAAGTGGTCAAATTTTGTGGTACCTGAAGAGAGGTCTTTTCCCAAGAAATATACCTGTGAAATATGAAAACCATAGTCCCACCCATTTAAAAGTTAAGGGCAAGGTTAAAGTTTTTGCAGACAAACAGACAGATAGACAGGGCAAAATCAATATAACCTCAATTCTTTGACTAGGGGAGCATAAGAATTGAAAAGAAATTTTAGTTCTCATAAGTTGCTTTCGTTAAATTTTGTAACTTTTTTTTGCAGTTTATACTTCCTATTTAAAAATGATTTTAAATTTTATTGATTGAATACTTAATTATTCTAAATCTAACAGAATTTAATATTTATGTTCTGTTCAAGTTTTCCTCTGGCTTATGTCACATAGTCCAACATGTTCAAATGGCTCTAAATAATTAACTTAACCTCTTTCTTCTGACAGAATCCATTTGCTTCTATGAAGCGAGAGAAGACAGCTCTGGATGTGACCGTGTCAGACAAGGAGAAGCATGACACGTACACCAAACTGATGAGAGAACAGACAGCAGTGATGCAGCATAAACAAGAGAGTCAGCGTAAACAGGAGGAAATGGTCAGTATGGGGGACATAAGGGGTCATCTCAAAATCCAAATATTAAAGGGGCCATCTCAAAATCCAAATATGGGGTCATCTCAAAATCCAAATAAGAGGTCATCTTCAAAAACGTGTAAAGCTAAATGTCTTTTATGCAGATGTGCTTAACGACAAAGGATTACAGTTTTTTCTGCAATTTTGACATTATTGTTGTTTGACTATCAGCACTTAGACCTTTATTTTTCATCCTCAGTTATATTATCTTTGAGAGAAAGAAATTTAGTGTTAATTTTTTTAAATCTGAAAAATTTTCTAGATTTTAAATGCAATTGAACTTCATGTTGCTGTTTTAGCTGAAAAGAAGGCTTGCAGAGAGACAAAGCAAAAAACAAGCAGAGGTTCAGAGCCTGATGAACTTGGGGGAACGTCAGAAAACCACTCTACTGGCCGCAAAACAGGTAATTTTTTGCATCTCACCTGAGCTGAAGGCACAAGTGAATGGTGAATGTAAGGCAGAGATTGCAAAGAAAATAATTCTAGAAAGCACAGATTAGTATCCATCAGTAAAATTAATTCAAGTTGTACAAGTACAATTTCTCAATTGATGTTTGAACCAAGATTTGGCATTTTTTTTTCCAAATACATGTAATTCGATGTTAAATTTTGAACATTAAAATATTTTTGATGGTTAAAGAAATACTTCAATTCCTGGACATTAAGGATTAATATTTGAATATCTGATTCTAAAATGGTAATTTGATTTTTTCAACACAGGATGAAAAGGACAAACAGTTAGAGAGAATGAAGGAAAGAATCAAGAGAGAGCGTTCTCGAAGCCCCGGCAAAAAGAAACACGCTGCTATAGAAGAGGTAACAGTCTGTTTAAAGGCTCTTGTAAATTTGTTAACTTTCTTTGCACAGTTGAAGAAAGATTTTTGTGGATGATAATATTTTCTTTAATGAGCCAGTTGATTTTTTTTTTTTTAAAAAGGAAGATAACTTCACATATTTTCAGTAAGTGCAATGATTTAAGGATTTAAAAAAAAAATGCCTTTTCTTTTTGAATGCATTCAGGAACCAGAGGAAGAAACATACTAATAGGTGATCTTTGATATTTTCAGTTCTAACAATGTTGTGTTTGACATTCAATCCTTTCCTAAGTTGAAGTTTCTGTTTTTAGTTGATGAAATAAAACATTTTTTTCACATTCTTTTTCTAAGGATTTAATTCCCATGCCTTATTTTGCCTCTGTTTTTTGTTGTGAAATTTTAAATATTTTTCATATACTTATTATTATGACACTATCAATTTCAAATCTGGAACTTTCCTACAGTGTAAGAGCCATTTATTAAAGCTTACTAAGAATAAGTGCCTCCAACACCAGCAGAATACTCATTATTTCATGACGGGGGTCATGGGGAGAGAGGTCAAATACAATCATTCTGGTTTTTTTAACCAAATCAATTTACCCTGTGTGCTGCATTAAAGAAATGCTTGAAATACAATTACTTATATTAATAAACAGAATGTTAGCCATAAAATGTACCTTCTTTGTTTTGTGTACTATTTTTTTGCAAAATTCATTATCAGTTAATTAACTGTCTTTTTAGCTCACCTGAGCTGAAGGCTCAAGTGAGCTTTTCTGATCACGTTTTGTCTGTAGTCCATCTTTCCGTCCGTCCGTCTGTCTGTGAACTTGTCACATTTTCGACTTCTTCTCAAGAACCGCTGGGCCAATTTCAACCAAACTTGCCACAAAGCATCCTTGGGTGAAGGGAATTTTATTTTGTTCAAATGAAGGGCCATGCCCTCATTCAAGGGGAGATAATTGGGAATTAATAAAAATTTGATGGCATGTTTGAAAAATCTTCTTCTCATGAACCACTGTGCCAGGAAAGCTGAAACTTATATGGAAGCATCCTCAGGTAGTGTAGATTCAAGTTTGTTCAAATCATGACCCCCGGGGGAAGGGCGGGGCCACAATGGCCGACCAAAGTTTTACATAGAAATATACAGGAAAATTCTTTAAAAATATTCTTCTCAAGAACCACTGTGCCAGGAAAGCTGAAACTTATATGGAAGCATCCTCAGGTAGTGTAGATTCAAGTTTGTTCAAATCATGACCCCGGGGGTAGGGCGGGGCCACAATGGCCGACCAAAGTTTTGCATAGAAATATATAGGAAAATTCTTTAAAAATCTTCTTCTCAAGAACCACTGTGCCAGGAAAGCATCCTCAGGTAGTGTAGATTCAAGTTTGTTCAAATCATGACCCCGGGGGTAGGGCAGGGCCACAATGGCCGACCAAAGTTTTACGAAGAAAGATATAGGAAATTTTTTTAAAAGTCTTCTTCTCAAGAACCACTGTGCCAGGAAAGCTGAAACTTATATGGAAGTTTCCTCAGGTTGTGTAGATTCATGTTTGTTCAGATCATGACCCCTGGGGGTAGGGCGGGGCCAGATTGGACGACCAAAGTTTTACATAAAAATATATAGGAAAATTCTTTAAAAATCTTCTTCTCAAGAAAGTAAAGCCATAATTGACCATATTTATATGGAAGCACCCTCAGGTAGTGTAGATTCAAGTTTGATCAAATCATGACCCCCGGGGGTAGGGGCGGGGCAAAAATGGCCAGCCAAAGTTTTACATAAAAATATATAAGGATTTTTTTTTAAATCTTCTTCTCAAAAATTGCAAAGCCATAATTGATCATATTTATATGGAAGCATCCTCAGGTAGTGTAGATTCAAGTTTGTTCAAATCATGACCCTGGGGGATAGGGCGGGGCCACAATGGCCAACCAAATTTTTTGCATAGAAATATATAGGAAAATTTTTAAAAATCTTCTTCTCAAGAATAGCAAAGCACTTTTTCCTCGCCACAGTGCTCAGGTGAGCGATGTGGCCCATGGGCCTTTTGTTTTCAAATAATAGTGGTCAAGGAATATATTATAAAGCAACAATAACTAGATTGTAAAAAATATATCCACACAGTTATACGAGGATTGTCCCGTAAAATCGTGGACAAGTTGTCTAGTTTGAAAAATAATCATCACTGCATTCTGAAATTTTCACTACTCTTTAGTACATATAATATGAATATACATAGCAAATTTTAAAAAGATATATGCATAAATAAACAAATTGTGATATTTTATGTTATGTACTGTTTCGCCCTACGGCGCACGGATTATAACGTCAAGGAGTCTAAAACAGCGTCGCGTTTCATGTTTGTTAAATGTATAGTTTGATAAGCCCCACTTAAATCTAGAAATTTTTTTGATTTTCATACGTGAGTGTTTATAACCAGTTAAGGAACTAATGTGGCACACTCATGCGATCTTCTGAAGATTTATCAGCAAGTTATGGACAGTATTCTCACCATCATTCAACTAACAAAGAATCTCATATCAACGGTCGAAAGTGACAGCGGCTTTTGCTATTACAATGGCAGTCTGTCCGTATGTTTTGTACTACTTGGGGACTCGATCAAGAAAACTTCGCTAAGAAAACTTCCATTTCATTTATATTTTAAAGATCTGGTGATATTTTACATATTTTCTTTCTTCTGTATTCATTTAAAGTCTCTTAAGGTGTCATTACAACATCCTAATCTAACTGAACTGTTCTCCGGTGCGCCGTAACGTCATCAAACGTCGCCATTTTTCGTGTATTGTGTTTACCATTTTCCCATTTCGAATGCTCGGGAAAATGCCAAAAATTAACCAAAATGTTTGAAATTTTCAAAAAGCCGTCAGAATTGATTAAGGAATTTAATTTGAACAATTTTCATCCTAATCTTGTGTATTTAAAACTTTTATTACGATTTAATACTTGTATATTCTCTAATATAATCTTGTTATTTTTACCGTGCGCCGTAGGACCGTACCCTGTGCACATTCAAGCAGAATAAAATCTTTATTTTTGCATATATATTATCAAAAACATTATGTTACACTTAAATATAATGAATAAACATTTACTGAAAATTTCAGCTCAGTGCGCCCATTACTTTTTGAGAAAAGCGCTTTGTCCACGATTTTATGGGACAACCCTCGTAGGTCATTTGCACAATAAAAATGTTAAAATGTAAAATGTATGTATGAAGCACTTTATACTACATGTACATACATGTACAATTACACGTGTACAACACAAATATTTCTAATAATATTGCACTTCTGTACTAACACTTATAGGAAAGGCCAATGGTTAAGTTTATATATTTTTTTTCATTTTATTGTAGACAGACATGAAACCCACAATGAAGAAATAAAGATCTACTCCTGTGATGCGCCACTTTATATTAAATTTTATGTATTAATCTGACTTATATGCATTCCAATCAAATTTGTGTGCCAGTTTTGAACTTTTCCTGTACATGTACTCAGTGGTATTTTTTATATGTCAATTATAATTATGGTCTGTGATAAAATTTATACACCTTTATCACTGTTATGTTTTCTAAATAATTGAATTTGAAGAAAAGATTGTTATGAACTCAAGATTTTTTATTTGATGGTTAAATTTACCTGTTTATGTATTGTTAACAATTAATTTTTAGTTGATTTAGTGTAAAATCACAATGATATGCATTTTTGTTATTTATTTTTTATTTAAGTATACATGTATTTAAATCTTCCGTCCAGTTTTCCATTCAGACTGATAATGTAATAGACATAACATCAATAACCTAGTGCAATGCTTTTGTTAACTTATCTTATTTTTAGCCTGCTGGCCAGGATTTCATTTACTGACATGTAAGAGTCTCTTGGATTTTTGAATTTTTTTAATGAATTATAATTAGACAACATAACTATTATAATGTTATGCATTATAACAGAATTATTAAAAACCACTTATCTTAATAAAAGTTTGTTGTAGTTTTTTAATATTCTATAAGGAAGGTAAGAAGGTCATTAAATGTTGAATTTAAGCAAGGCTGCTGATATTCTTGTGTCATCCTCTTATTTGTCAATATCCTGCCTATTTTTATTGGTTAGACTGCACCATATAATTCAGACCATCTCCAATTAGACTAAGAGTGGACAAATTTTAGAAGCCTAGGGAAAGATTCAAGAATCGGAACTTTCTTTAATATTTTAACATTTAACCTGAATTGGAAGTTTAAATAAAAATAAAAGACGCATTGATTCCTGACTATCAATTCCTTTAATGTACATGTATATCTTATGTAGAGTCATAAAAAAAAACACAATTTCAAGTTCTCTGGAATCAAAATCTATCATCTTCCAGATGTTTATAGATTCTTCATATATCTCTTCTCTTAACTCTTGAACAGATATTCTCAAAGCTGTCCTCTCCCATATAATCAATCTCTCCAATCTCCCAACACAGACGTCTGGCTGTTTCCTCTGAGTCAGTACCTTTCCATTCTCTGCACATTTCTCTTTCTATTCCTCTTTCTATTTTAGATCCGCTCTCATCCCGACATTTACCAATAGGCCCATTCACTGAATTCTCCTCTGATTCCCTCTGCTTTTCAGAATCGATTGCAAAAAAAGATTGGTGGAAAGTGGAAAGACCTTTCTTTAAATGCCAAGACTTTTAGCATTTTAACCTTGATCTTGGAATTTGACCTACTCTTTAAAAAAAAAACTTCAACTTGTTCATAACTTTTGAACAGTTGTAATAAATTAGAAATTTATATTTCACATATGTTTCTTGTAAAAAGACCTTCCTCTTGGTACTTTGGAGCATGATCAACTATAAGAAAAACTTTAACCTTTGCCATAACTTTAGATATCAACAGTTGATGCTTTGATTTTCTCACATGTATGTATTCACTGAGATAAAACTTTCTTTGGGTAACAATATTTTGATCTCTTGACCTTGTTTGACTTCCACCTGAGAAACCTTAACCTTCGCCATACACTGCCATACAGGAACATCAGTTTTTCATAAACACATCTTGTTTATCATCGTAGTAGTAGTCATAATCATCTGCTGGAAAAAGAAACGATCAAGACAGGTTATGCAGAATACAGCTACATGCAGGCAGCACTTCAACGACAAGTAAAGACTTTACGGTAAAATCCCTCTGTGGTTGGTAAAGTAAATGGCATTAAACCTCTTTTTATTACTTCGTATTAATCAGATAATAATGATAATGATTCCGGAGTAAAACAGGTTTGGCCTCCCGTAAATGACCAAAAAGTGTGTACACAATATTTACATGTAGTCGATCGATATGCCTTGTCTGTTTTCACTCTGAACACCTCGACAAAAAAAATGCAACAAAATGTTGATAAAGATTAGAAGCTTATTTAGCCACAGTAGTAAATTTGTTTACTATTTACATTCAAACTATAGTTTAACAATTTAGTACAATTTGCTTACATGTACATGTACCTGAACGACGCAGAGTCAGCTTTTTGTCATTAATTGAAGCACCTAGAGTTAACAATTTTGTTTTATATATAATATAACATATATTTGTTTACGAACAGCTCATTATGGACAACCAGGATATGGGCAAACAGGATATGGGCAGCCATCTCCTAGTTATGGACAAAAACAGTCAAGATTCAATCAGTATCCCCTGCCATCTGGCGGTAATCCTTTCTTCCCACCTTCTCAATCCACCTGATTTCTAAAAGAATGAAGACGTCAATTAACATTTTACTAAAAATTGACTTGTATTCAAAGTTATATTTTCATTTGAAAGCTTATTGGATTCCATGTTTTATTTACACATATGTTATACATGTTATAGCTTTATTATTAAGTGCATATAAATTGTAATGCTTTCTCAAGATTAAAAGAAATATTCTAGAAAGAGCGTAATGGGTAATTATCATTTTATACTCAAATATATGCTGTTTTGATGTATTTATCATGAATATTGATTGAATTGCTAGTTATACGCCGTTCAAAAATTTTTGCTTTTTTAATGAAACAAAATACATGTATGTCTAGTAATTTGCTATTAAACGTTTGTCCTCTATTTAATGAAAAAGAGAAAGGAGAGGTAATATGCTCAATGGCTGGGTACTGACTGATAAATGGAAATGGTTTTCTTAAGAAATAAAGGCAAGAAAATTCAGTGAATGGTTGTAAATATTTGACACATATGGTGATGTGAATTTATAAAATATCCTATAGCGATCATAAACCAATTGGTTATCTACATCTTATGAAATGAAATCTGATGACTTATTTAATGGCATGATTTATTAATATAGGATTATACCCTTAGTGTTATTACTCTATATTCAATGAATACCATTAAACTATTCCGTCGAGAAGGTACTTCTCCCACCATTTGAGGACACATTACAGAAAAGTCAGACCTGCTTACTGGGACTACTTCCTCACTGATATTTATATATAATTTTTACCAATTATAAAATGATCAGAGTGTTCAAGGAATCTCGAATCGGTGAGGTTACATGTATGTTATGAGCAATATATAACTATGAAGTGAAAACATTTCGACCAGCAATGTCAAAATCATACTGAAATTATTGAAAAATGAAAAGAATGATAATTAATTCATTAAATTATCAGTGAAGCGATCAAGTCACAAATGTTTTTTTTTCCAATCAGCTTACATCACTTTTTGTATGAAAATCTTAATGAAAACCGCACTAGAATCAATGGAATTCATATACCAAGTAGTATATTGTTTCAGTTAGTCATATTTGAACATATTTTATTGTTTAACACAAAAGGATCAGAAATGTGAGATGTATAAAAAATATGCACAGAGTGAAAAGAAATCTCCGTTTAAAACCAAATTTATCCAATGAACCTTTGATATAAAAAAAAATAAAGGTCATTGATCCATATACGCAGTTAAATGTCCAACAGGATGTTTGCTTGCATTTAGAAATACCAAGATTTGTAACCAGGTTTTGAAATTGCTCGATTTGTTTCTGATTCTGGTCAACATTAAAACAAATTCGTTATTATGGCATTGGCTCCTAGAATATGGATATTTTTACTCAGTCTCTTCCACGTCTTAGGTAATTATCTTATTGTTTCATCAATTCATTTCCTTAATTATTTCTAATTTACTTTGTATTACTTGATTTCATGTTAATTTTTTTTTTCAGAATAAGATATCAATATTCAATGTATTTGTGATTCAATTTTATAAGAAGACTTATTCTATTTTTGAAAAATGGTTTTAGGATTGTTATACATTAAACGTGTTAAAGCAGACAAAACTGTATTTTATTTTTAAAATATTTATTCGATTTTAGTAGAACTATAATTTTATATCTTTGTCCTCCAAATGTAAAGTCAAATAGACAAATATGATCAAAAGCATATTTTGTTTTCTCTTAAAAAGATTATTCTACGTATTTTAGAAATATTTTGTCTGAAAGAAAATAACATGTTGCTTGTATATATAAAAAAAACAAAAACATTTTGTAATTAATGCGTTGGATGATGCAATATGCTGTTATACAATTTATTTGCTATATGAATGAAAGAAGACACAATGCATGTACATTTCGTATACTTAGTTAATATAAAAAGAAAAGAAAAAGTTATTTGACTGTCACGGTGTATATAAATATCGTTGTCCTAATATCGCATATTGAAATATAAGACAATTTAAGAAAAACACGGGGAATATTGCATGCACTCAGAGCAATAAATCGTATATTTGAAATGTCGTGAAATAAGAGTAGTTCATACATCTACCTCACGTATTCAGTCATTGATTCTGTACAAGTGCTATAATGCATGATAAGAAATGAAGTTTTGTTAAACACACACTTCTAATGTAAAGCGATCGATAAAACTGCTTTCTAAAGGCATTTAAACTCGTACACATGAGCAAAGTAAACGAACGGTCCAGTAGAAGTGCGTATTTTCTTTTACCCTTAATCTCAGTTTCAGTAAAAGGTACAGTGTACGTAAACGTACAGATTTTATACTATAAAGAAAGAATGTTAAATATTCTTTTAAATATAGTCAGAGAAAGAGAGATAGAAAATGCAAAATAATGTCAAATAATGTATATATATATGATATTTGAATTATTGAATTTAACTATACACGTAAACTTATATATAGATATCTATACAATCTAAGGTGAAATAAAAAAATAAACATGTAATGAAACAAATCATAGCTGGAACGCGAGTGGTGGGAGGTGCGGCTTGTATACCCGATCCGGTTTTCGTAGTAACAACTTCCCTGGCTGAGTGTCTTAATAATCTTTTATTGCAAATTTGAGAATTGAATGTCTGATTTTTTTTGTTTCAGGGTACCATTTAGCCTCAGCTGGGTATTACTGTTACTACTCAGGATACAGTGGGTACTATTGTTATTACTACTACTCCTCGTACAGTGACGTAGGGACCATTGCAGGGGCTATCATCGGAGGCATAATTTTCACAGTCATCGTTGTTGTCGTCGTTATCATCATCTGCTGTAAGAAGAAGAATAGACCTGGACAGGTTATTCATAATACACCTGCAGTCAACACAGTGACCACAAGTGAGGAACCAAATTATTATAATTTATATCTCTTTTCCTTTAAATCCGAATTTAAACTCTCTGTGGCAGGTATAGAATATTATAGGAAATTTCTTTTTAATACTTCATGGTCAAGTAATATGTATAAGTAAAAAAAAAAGACACAGAAATAAAAATCCTTACTCTATTTAAATTTCATGACCACAAAAATAGAATAAGAATTGTTGGACATGAATCGATGAAGAAAATTCCATACGACAGCAATTGCATGCACCAGTTTTAGGAAAAGCCAAGTGGAGCTGCTTTTAAGAATTTCGTTCAACGTTTTTAACACTGACATCAAAAGAAATATTTCAATGAATACGCAATTAATTGTTAGCGATATTTAATTTTAGCG